TATATAACTAAACACGTCTCAGAGTATAATATGGTCAATACCATACAAATTACCCACTGCATTATACCCGACAGACACGCCCTAAAGTTAACCCCACCCACTGCTCTAGTAAAACTGATGTAGATAAAACATGAAAGGTACCGAATGAAACTAGTAAAAAATAAATAAATAAAAATGATAATGATAACATTCCACTGATATATCATCATTGCCAAAAATATAAGATACGGCCAATGCAGCTGTATTGTCATGCTTCAGGTCTGCAAAACCCTTCATACAATGTATACAAGCAATCTAATCACACACTAGATGTTGGCAAAATAATTGGTTTCATCAGACGTTATGAGAAAAGTTCGGCTTCATAGCCTACCAAAACCTCCAGAACATTGCAGTTAACAAGTCGTCTTTCTCTTTCAGAGTCATCGCTCCATTCTATCTTAAATCCGGAATTATCCGCGTATTCATATTCAGCAACATCATTATCATCAGCGTCATTTTCAAACTCATGACTTGAGAGTTCATCTTCAAATAGGTCAGTGGGTTCGATAGGTCCCTAGAACCAGACAAGAGCGTAGATTCCATGAATCCGTGCCACTTTCAGGATGAGATGAATCTGCGTTGCAACAAACATTGTTGACGAAGTGCGCGCGATGCAGTTGCGGACAGTCTTGGAACAAGGTGGAAAGAATGCGCAGTCGACTTTAAATTTTTCAATGGAGCTTCCTGATATAAATACAAAATTCATACAAAGCATGTGCAGGAAGCATTATGGAAAAAAATGCATAGGACTGCTGAACAGAAAACAATAAAGTGCCGTCACATTTCCCCATAACGTGGTCCAGATTGCATTGTTCTACAGAAAAGGCAAAGTGAAGCCATGCAAAATCTGGGACATTTATCTTTTTTTCAGAAAATTAGGGCATCTTTTGTACATTAAGAAAAAGCATCATCGGGTTGGATTTTTTCCAACGACTGGGATAGCCGTTTAGAATTTCGACAACGCGTTTAAACTCCGCCCAGTTAGCCTGAAATTCGTTGCTAGAGGCCCACCTCGTTTCTATTTTGTATATTTTTTCCCCGGAGAAACCTAGCCGTGCTTATATTTTACAACAGAAATGCGTTAAATATATTTCTAGATCATTCTGTATACAGAGATCAAAGAAATAAACTATGAACACAGAAAAAATATCTTCGTTGTTAATAGTCATTGGAACATATGGAAACTTCCCCTCTCAAACATACGGTGTCTCAATTAATCTCTTCGATTTTGTATATTAATAATAACATGTGTTTGTATAAAGTTTGAACATGTAATATGGCTTTGATAGCAATAAATATTATATAATCTAGGAAAAAATTTGGAAAGTGAATAGAATTAAATAAACATGTTCATATAAAACATATGAAATAACAAAAATTGTTTCTCGTTTCTATAATTGCTACTGTAATCGTTACTGTAATAAAAGGATGAAACTGATACACTTTTACGAAAATACCAACCACGCCAGCTAAGAAAATGATAAGAAGTGCTGACCGATTTATGTACTTTATGGTTCATCTTGTTTGTATCTGTATATAATTATAAAGAAATGTCCTCTCTTTTTTCAAGTAGAGGCGCATGGACCCAAATGAGAGATATTTACGGAAAAATTATCTACCGTGTCAAGTTTTGAGGGTGATAGGTTGGGCCTGCTCTGAGGCTGTTGTCCAAAGTAGGGGTAATCCCCTAAATTAGGCCTCAGTCTGGTCTCCTAAGCCCTCAGTGACAACAAGAAGCAAGGGATTGGGGTGAATTGAGTTGTTATTACAAAGTGAATGGAGGAGGGAGTGCCATACTTCTCTATATGCCCAGCAAGATATTTTCTCTTACATCATTTCCATTTTTTTCTTAAAAAATACATCTTACTATATCTGTTTTCAGCCATCAGTGCATTATTCTATTATCTTTCTTAGTTTTAATTTGTTGGCATTTTTAGTGGTCCATCTATAAGTATATTTTTGACTGATTCTGAAAGATTACAAATCAAGATCACATTATAGTTGTTCTCAATTATATTTTTACTGTCTTTATTCTCTTTATATTCATATGGCTCCTTTCTTACTTAATACTTTTAGTGTTTCATGTAAACAGGTATATATTCAACTGATTCTGAACTCTTACCACAAATCTTCTAGTACTACCAAAATAAATGTCACTTATGAGAGCTTACTTGATCTATATACATTGTGAATGCTTATATCATATTTATTTAGAATTTAAAATAATTGTTGTAAGTCTTAAACAAAATGACAAAATAGAAGATTGAAATTCAGTCTATATATATGTATTCCACCTCAAACAGAAACAAGTAAAGAATGGGGAGTGGGAGAAGTGGGATTGGCAAATAGGGATAGAATGAGAAGAAAGAGAGGAAAGAAATGGTGTATGAAGAAGATGAGAGCGGTGGTGAAGGGAGTGTACATTTCATCAATGTCTTCTGTGTATATGAACACTAATAATAAGTGTGTGCATGATTAAAGGTAGTCTATAATCAAGTTATGCATGCCCATCAAAGACACTCATACATATATAATAATATATGGACAACTATTTGTGTGGGGCACTATGACAAAGTAATGTTAACTGTTGTTCTCTCTGCCTGCCTTTATTAAACCAGCCCAGAGAAGTGTCTATTTAGCTTTATATACTTCTGCATAAATTTTACTTGCAATTCTTTGTATCACATGGAGGACCTTTTCTTCACCTATGTGCAAGTGATAAGCTTGTCATATCACTTATCAGAATTCTAGGCCTCATACAATTAAAGAATTTTTGGAGATAATTCCCATCCTTCACAGATCTTGTAATTAATCCAAAATTTGAAGTTCCCTTACTTTCTGGGTATTTCTGATAAATAGCATTTAATTAATTATATGACAAATCTGCTGACATACTTAGTGAGATAAGTCTGGATGGGTTGATCACGAAAGTGAAATTTAGTCATATTTTCTACCCTGCAAAAATGGGAAGGCAAAGGAAAATCATGATCAGTAACATTCTACTGGAGGTAGTATGGGCACAAGTATGAATGATTTATGTTATCTTGCTCAGCAACTCCCTTCCAAAACTGATGACATACATTAAATTATGCAAGAATAAAAAAAATGTATACAAAATCATGTCCTATTCCATATAATTTGTGCATTTATTTTTATTTGTTTATTGAAAATTTTCTTCCACATGAACATTCAAGGCCATAAGTGGTGTACTTAAAATATAGTGACAGGGTGGGGTGTAGGGGCAAAGCTCCGGTTAAGGAAGATTTTTGGTTCATTAAGGAGATGTTTGTGAATTTCCAGAATGTTGTCAAAATGAATAAATGTGCCAGACATCAAAGGTCATATAGCATTATGGTAAAAGTATTATGGCAAAAGTTAACAATTAGGATAAATGGACAGAGGGGGATGGATAAGAGAAGGAAAGTTTAGGAGAAGAAAAAACATGATCCCCTATGTTAGGCCACAGTCCCCATTTCCAAAGGAATCCTCACAAAAATAAGAATTTTCACAAAATTTTCTTCTACATCAACATTTAAGGCTATTAATGGTGTATTCAAAATATAGTGATAGGGTGGAGTGTAGGGGCAAAGCCCCGGGAAAGGAAGTTTTTTGGTTCAATAAGGGAATGTTTGTAATTTCTAGAAAGTTAATCCATTGCTGCCGGGGAAAATGAATAAAAAATGAGGAAAATGCTGTGCTCATTTTTTATAATTTTGTGAAATGTCTCTGTACATAGATAGCTCTGCTAGTGCTTAGCCACAAAGGAGTTAATTAGTAGACCTTGTGATCTTACCTGATTTCACCTTTCCTTGAATTGTCAGGAAAAAATGTACTTTTTACTAGTGGTATGAATATCAGTGGTGTTATTTTTATTAGAAACATTATAATTACTATTATTTTATAAACATTATTATTTTATGGTGACTTAGTTCAAGTGTAGCCATCTATGTGTAAAAACAATTAAACAAGTAAACTCACAGTGGGCATGGCATGTACGTACATGCCATGCCTGTTGACAATAGGCCAATTGTCAAAACAAATGTGCCAGACATCAAAGGTCGTACAGCATTATGAGAAAGTAATATGGCAAAAGTTAACAATTAGGTTAAGTGGACAGAAGGGGATGAATAAGAGAAGGAAAAGGAAAGGAAAAGATAAAAAACATGATCCCCTACATTAGGCCTCAGTCCCCATTTCCAAAGCACCCTCACAACAACTAGAAGCAAGAGATTGGGGATTTGTGCATTTATATGTTATAGAGAATTACTTCTTCATGGTCCTGGATTTTATTTTTTTATTATTATTATTATTTTTTAAAATTTTCTGCTGTGTCAACATCTAAGGTCATTAGTAGCATATTCAAAATACAGTGATAGGGTGGGGCTTAGGGCAAGGCCCCCAGGTATAGCATTATGGTAAAGTTTTGTATCAAAAAGGGTAAAAATTAGTTAAAGATTGGGATAAGTGGATAGAAGAGGGGGATGAAGAAGATAAGGAAAAGGAAAGGAGGTGAAGAAAAGATGCTGCAAAATTAGTTGAAGCGAGGGCTGATGTCTAAGGTGGGAGTGATACCCTACATTGACCCTCATTCTCCACCTCCTAAACACGCCCACAACAACGAAGATCAGGGTCTTAGGGGGTCTTGGGCATGGACATATTATTTGCTCTATGCAGTCAGGTTGACACACATGTTAAAGAGCCTGTATAAGAATCATATAAGTCTAATCCATTAAATAAAATTGTCTTTTCTTTGTTCCAGTCAACTGGCCCTTTTATCATGAATTCTTAGTTCATGTTTATAGGTTTAAAGAGTACAAAGTAATGCATTATCACTTTCTTTCCTACTAACTACTGTCTTTAATACCATAAAGATATACCATGGAAATTAGTCACTGTTAATATAAATACACATTATTACACTACTCCTTTTCACTCTTCAGGGTAAAAGAAAAGTATTGTCATTGGTGTTATTTCTTCCATTTCACTTACAGAAATTTATTGTCATTACCATCTAGTATTTGTTGTTGTATGCAATGAGCAGGGCATATGAGCAAGGCAAAATATCAATGTGTAATTAAATATGCATCATGTCCCTGAAATACTTATGAGGAAGATGAGGGAGTGCTATGAAGGTTGGTGGCATATTTGTCTTCTTAAAAGCTTAAACTTCTCCTTCAGCACTAAAGCTTCCAATTGCTGTCTAAAGTGAAAGAACAGCTAGTTGGTATCTAAAGAGCCTGAAGAAAATTTGTCTACACAAAAATACAAATATACAGAAATCTCCATTAGCACTAGCATCATTTAAACATACTCCACACCATAATTGGTATATGTACTTCCTATGGCTTAAATTTATTACAGACACTCCAATTTAAGAAACATAAGGTGAATTTTGATTTCACTAGTGCTATTGTAGTACAAACCATCCTCATGAATATCAAAACTGATTTAACTTATTACAGAAATCAGAAAGCTTCAGACATAAAATAACATTTGCAAGGTCAAAAACATACCTTTGAAAATGAAAGGAAAATAAAATAAAGATAAAATAAATTTTCTTACAAAGACCTGTCTCAGTTATCAAATGATGAGAAATGTGTAATTCATATCAGTGATTTATTCCTAATCAAGAGGAGGAACTGTACCCAATGATCATATATCTATAAGATAATTTCAGACCATACAGGCCCACCATAACATCTATATTGCAATTGTACAAAAGAAACTTTTCAAAGCAGCATCGCCTGTCATCCAGTCAGCTTAAAACTAGTAACTGTGCTTTGTTTTATAAGATATAAAAGTATAGATTTTTTTCAAGTATTTTCACTCACCTTAAAAAAGACAGGAAAGAAAAATGTCTGTACATTGATAAATAATGACCAAAAGAATAAAAAAGAAGGCTTGCAAAGTCTATATATATATAGTTGAATGATTAGAGGAGAAATGAGAGCAGAAATTTAGAGAGGGGAGCCAAGAAAAGAAGAGAGAAGAGAGACATGAGGTAAGCTAATGAGATGAAATGACAAGGAGTATGGGGAGCAGAGAGAGGAGAGGAGAGGAGAGGAGAGGATAGGGGAGGGGAGGGAAGGAGACGAGAGGAAGAGAAGAGAGAAGAAAGAGAAGAGAAGGGAAGAGAGGCGAGAAGGGGAGAGGAGAGGAGATGAGAGGAGAAAACAGAAGAGAGAGAGAAGAAAAAGATAAGAAAATGAGCACATGCATATATGGATGTATATGTGCTTATGTGTGCACAGATACAGGTGTGTGTGTGTGTGTATATTTGGACATAATAAAACATACAAACAAAAATATTGCATTATGTTTCTCTTGAAAACAACAATTCTCTAAATGTCTTTCATACTAACACATCTGAACTTCACAAATATCATACAGTCTGACTGATAAGCATAAACAATCTCACAGTAACTCTTTTGAAATACTTACAACATACATAAAGCACACAGAACACATATCATTACTCAATTGATTTAGATATGAATGATGGTAAATACAATGATAATGATAAGTAATCAAGAAGATGGCTGAGCTGAATATGTTCAAAGATGAGTTGTGTTCTCACTATAATCAGACATTTTAAATCTCACAAAAGCTCAACTATTTCTTATCTAAGTTTCTCTTTGAGTTGTCTATGATCTCAAGGCATCATCACTTCTTCTTTCTGCTTTTAATTAATCAAAATGCATACTGGAAGGGAAAAAAATCAAATACTAAAAAACATTCAGCAAATAAATGCATCCAGTTTCTCCCTACTGACAGACTGATTTGGGGCTAATTTTGAATTTTAGGCATGTGAATTAATAAAGGTTTATTTATTATTTTCAAAGGTGGTTGCAATTCATTTTCCTTTCATTTTTGTATTTCCGTTATCAATAATTGGATATCAAGAAAGATCTTGTTCTCATAATAAAGAATGTGCAAATGATATACATATACAATAAATAAAATATCTCAACTCTGGACATGATAGAAAGGTATTCCACAAGTTGTTGTGGAAATTTTGTGTACTGCCCAAAATAGCCAATATGGAGAAAAAAGAAAAATGCAGGACTATAAATTTCTATTTTTTTCTGATAAAAATGATAAAATGCACAGATGGTTTTAAGTGAGTGATATATGGCTATTTTGTAGTTCAACAGTAAGCCAATCACCTTCTCTCCAAGTCAGAGTATTGTCAGTGATCAAGAATCACTTCTACCCTTTTAGGCATTAAAATTTGCCATACATAGTTGCTTTCTACAGGAAAGTTTACATATGAGTCTTAAATGATAGCTAGAAAATCATAATGAGAAAACAGGATGCTGAACATCACAAGGTCACATCCCCTACTCACTGCCTAAAGCACTTATCATATTAAAAAAGACTTGCTCCTCAAGCAGAAACTTTTTATCATTACTTTACAGTTATCAAAATGGCAATGATATGCTGTAATGAAAATCTATGACA